GGCCCTGGCTGCTTGGCTCCCTCCACACTCCAGGCAAGACTATGGCGGCGGAGGGACTCCAGGGGGGACCTTTAAAACTCACTCTCAGAGCAGGGGGCAGTGCGGGCGCCCTAGAGCGCCGGGTGGGTGCCAGGGCCCCAAAGCTCTGGCATGCAGCTGGTGCTGGCTTGGCCTTGATACCTTGCAGGGGTTGTAGGCAAACCCATTGATGAATGGGGGCCACGTGGTCTCTGCCCCCCTTGCAGCCTCGCCCAGAGTCCCTGCACAATGGGCTCCCGAGGGAAGGAACTCAGCCCACCCAGGGCTCTAGGGGGGAGGATGGGGCTTGCTCCGGGAGTCATTTCTCCTGGCCAGTGAAGGGCAGAGCAAAGTCCCGGATATGCCCTCCATGCCTGGCGGCACTGGGGGGGGGGGAATGTCTGGGAAGGGCCAGGTAGAAGCTGGCCAGGACTGGAGGCTGCACTGTGAGCTGGGGAGTGGCTTTCAGCAGCACCTGTGGGAAGGCATCTTCTAACCACAGGGGTCTGGGCTGCCCATCTCCATCCCCGGGCAGGATGTTCCGTCGGGGACCGGCCAATCCTTCCAGAGGGTGCCGTGGGGTCTGCAGCGAATTCAGGCCTCTGTCTGCAGCTGCTTGGTCCCGCCCTGTTGCCTTGATCCTATGGCTCAGCCCCCCCCCCTAGTTCTGAGTGCCCCCGCCTGTGCCTGAGCCCCACCCACAGCCGAAGAGCTGTGGACCTGCAGCTTGTCTCTGCTGCACCCTCTCCAAATGCCTGGTCCTGCCCTCCCCATCACCCTGATCTGGTGACCCAGCCCCACTCCACCCATTCAGCACCCTGGGGCTTTTGCCTGTGTCCTGGCTTGTCCGGTCTTTGGGAACTGTCACTGCTCAGCGTCGGTGAGGGCTCAGGAGTCTCCAGGTGGTGCTCAGCAATATCAGAAGCCCCAGGACCTTGGAGGCAGCAAAGTTGGGACTGTGGCACATCCTAGCGCCAGGCCTATGGTCTGGGAAGCTGGCCAGGACTGGAGGTTGCACTGTGAGCTGGGGAGTGGCTTTCAGCAGCACCTGTGAGTGAGATAAAGGCTTCCTTTCCACCTATTGTGCTCCCCCAGTTCTGCTCACCCCACTGGTGCACCCCAGAGGGCTGTTTGCAGTCAGGCCCAGTATTGGGAGGGGTTGGTGCCACTTACCAGGAACCTCATTTGGACTCAGACCCACCTGCAGCAAGATCATCTGTAGCTCGGAATGGGGCATTACCACCTGCCTACATTGCTTGGGTCCCCCGGGATGTGGGGAGCAATGCCGGGGGCAACCAGCCTGTGTCCCTGGGGCCAGTGCAGGGGATGCTAGGGCCAGCTGCAAAGCAGTTGGAGGCTGTGTGGACTCCTGGGCTTAATACTGACATGCCAGCCCACACCTGGAGGTCTTACGGCATCAAGAGAGGTTCTTGGAAAGGTGAATGCCTGTGATGGGGTGTGTGGGGCCTGACCTGCCCTCCGGAGGCCTGCGTGGTTACCAGAGCCAGCTGCGCCACCGTGTGGGTGGGAGGCTGAAGGAGCCAGTGTGACGGGCACACCTGAGCTGCCTGTCCCAGAGCTGGGCGGTTGTTGGGGCATTCTGCCTGGCAGAGTGGGGCAGGCCTCCATCAAAGGGAGCTGTGCTTTCCCAGGCATGGGGTCTCCCTGAGTAGGAGAGGTGGGTGGGGGAATCCCTGGCTCAGACGAGGCTGCCAGCAGGGTGCTGAGACATTTTCACAGATGCCAGCAGCTCCCAGGAATCCTTCCCCAACCAGGGAATTTCTGCCAATTTTTTTTTCTGAACAGACTCAGGTTCGTTTCCTGAGCTGGCAGCTTTTTTGGGCAACCCCCAGTAGGCTGCCTCTTGAGCCTTTGTGGCCTGGGCCCTGGTGCTCACATTCTGGGAACCTCCCAAGCCACCCCTCATCGTGAAACTGGGCTCCCCAGTCTTAGCTTTCTAGCCCTCCACGCTGTAAAGGAAACCTTGCAAGTGGGAGCCGAATACAACAGAGACAGTGAGGTGTGCCTGAGTCTGCAGACAGCCTCAGACTGGAGCTCAGAGGGGTGATTCCCTGCCCCCCGCCAGCTCATCGTTGTTTACCCTGAAACCTAGTGACATTTTCATGTAACCGCCATTAACTTTTTCACCGTTGGTCAGATAGCAAAATCAGCCAGCTTATGTGCTTATCCCACATCCCCAGGCCACATCCCCAGGGGCCAATCCCCAGATGCTCACACCCGCAGGTTTCTCCCTCTCCTCTGAGACCATCTAGCATGGGCAATACAGAAGACATTCCAACGAACTGTCCAGCGAGACAGCCGAGGGGCCCCTGCCCCTTCACAGCAAAGTCATCTCGCTCAACGCCTGCCTTTCTGGTGTAAATGAAGCTTCACGCTTGAGGCCTTGTCTAGACTATGCTCGGAGCTACCTTACGCCCTTTCTGACTGGGGCTGGGGCTGCACTTGGAATTTGGCTCGACAGAGCCACAGTGCTTAGGGGTATGGAAAAGCCGTGGCTATGCCAACCTCCCCTCTCCCCCACAACCCCATGTAGATGTGTCTAGGTCCACCTAGCTACCACAGCTTGGGGGAGTGTCTGTGCAGCGATGGAAACCACCAAGCTATGCCACCAGAGTGCCCACCGTGTAGACAAGGCCTGACGCATTTGAAAGCCTCGTGTCGACGCGGCAGGGTTGAGTGAAAGGGCAGGCTCCCCTGTCTAGTCCTCCCTGGAATTTATTTATTTATTTATGACTTTGATTGCCAGTTCACGCAAGGGTTCAGCCTGGGGTTAAGACCAAACGTTCGTTGCCTGCAGTAAAAGGGTGCAAGTGTCCAAGCCAGCCTTTGCAAAGTAAAGCAACTTGAGGAGTGGGAACCGCTGGACAGCAAGACATCCTGCCTACACTAGACTGTGCACAGCTTTGTAGCCTAGTCTCCTACTGTCTCTGGTAACCTGGCCCCCATCTCTCTGCAGCACAGACTAGCTTTAGGGGAGGCGGGGCTGCTGCCCTCCATGATCTATCTGGCCATGCCCCCTCTCATGCTCCCAGCTTGGCTTTCAGGGGCACTGTGCTGCAGGGGAAGTTTCTTTGCCTTCCTTGGCTACACTTCCTCTCCCACCACCTCCCCCTGGCTTTAGGGGGAGCTGCACTGCCTTTCCTGCCCTAGGCATGCGCCCTGCCCCTCCAGAGAGGAAATCGAGGACCGTGTCTGAGTTAGGGGGCACAGAAAGAACGGGGGGATTGCATCGAGGAGTGGGAGGGAGAGGGACTGGGAGAGGAGCTGGAGAGGGGGCTGGATGGGGAGAGGGTAGGAGCTGGACTGGGGAAAGTTCCTCTGCCCAAGAGAATGCCTTGCTGAGGGCAGTAGGAGGCCATGGGGCTGGGCAGACATGCCTGTGGCATGAAGAGGGGAAGTTCCCCATCTGAGCTCTATCCAGGGCCGTTGGTGCCTGCCGGCCACGGCCGCCAGTTCCAGATGTTTCTTGGACTGGCCACATCTGCATGGCAAGTCCCAGCGCTGTGGAGGAGGCGTTGCTAGGAAATGAAGCTGCGGGTTGCCTGGGAACGGAGGACAGTCTCCACCAGGCAATCTGACACCTGTCAAGAATGCTGATGTCAGAGCAGCTTCTGCAGAGGCAGCCATGGCAACCCACTGAGGGTGAAGGGACGTGCTCTGCTCAGGAGCTGGTGCAAGAGCTTCCCTTTCTCTAGCGCACACGCCTTGCATGTGAATCCTTCGGGGGCTGGGCAGGGGAGGAACGGGACCCTCTAAAGTTGCAAGCAGAGGGAAATGCATTTGCCCACTCCTGATTGGCAGCACCAGGGCCTGCCCCCTGCCTGCGGGGAGCCCCCGGCTGCTCCAGGGCATGAGCCAGCTTCCCCATGCTCAGAGTGCAGGCTCAGGGTTTTACAGAGAGGGAGGTCCCACTGCGGTCCGGCATGAAACGGCGCACGCCTCCTCCAGGAAGGTGAACTTGTCCTGCTGTAGGCAGCTCCCTGGCCCCTCCGCTCTGCCTTGGGGTCACTGGGACCCTGGCCCCCCGCCGGAGCCGGGCTCAGCGCTCTGCAGTGTCATCCCCGGGCGGCTTTCTCTCTCTCTGCAGATGTCTGATTACAAACGAGCTACGTTGCAGGATGACGAGGGAGTGGATGCGGCTGGAGATGGAAGCGCCTCTCCTGATAGCGTGGAGGTAGGCTTACCGACATGGGGGCCTCTTTTCGGCCAGGACACGGTGCAGGCTTCTTAGCGGCCAGGACCAGTGCACTGCGAGGGAGGGCACGGCTCAGCCTCTGAGCTTCTGGGTTCCCACGGGAGCTCCCCCCGAGTTATGTCCAGCTGCAGCGCTATGAATAAAAGCTGGGTCTGGAACCCCAGGGTCAAGATAATCTCACCAGCGGGGACGGGCGTGGGGAAAAGGAGGGAAGGGGCTATTTCCTACAGGAACTACAGCTGGCTCTGCTTCCCTTTCCCAAAGGCCCCCATGGCTCTGCCACTGCCCCTCTGGCTTGCTCTGCAGCCTCTCCCCCCCTGGTTCCAGTCCTGGGCTCCCCATACCCAGCCCTGCTGCTGCCCCTTACTCCTGCCCTGCAGCCTGCCTGGCCTCTCCTGGGCCGGGGCTGCCTGTCACAGTGACTTGTATGGACCTTGGTGGCATTTTTAGAGGTGATTGACCTTCCCGCAAAGCCGCTGGGAGACAAGGCTTTTTTTTGCACATGGCGAGGTCCCAGTGCCAGGCCCTGGCTCCCAGGGAGGTAGCTCACTGAGGACGGCCAGGTCTTGTGGGATATTCACTCGGGTCGCTCCAGCTTTTCCCACAGGGTCCCCCAGGCAGGTCCTATGGACTGTGAGCAGAAGGGGGAGGTGTGACAAGGCCTGACCCGCTGCTGGTCCCTGCTCTCTGGCAGGTGCCCTCTAACTTCAGGATCCGCTTGCTGCGCTGGGCGGGGCCCGCTCCCAACAGAATTGCCATGTGCTAGCGCTCAGTGCTGGGGAGTGGCACAGCATCTCTTCACACCTACAGGCAATTGGGCAGCCCAGGGAGAAACAGGCTGGGCCTGCCATGGGAAGAGGGTTGAAGGCAGGGAAGGGCTAGGGCAGTACTGCCCAGGGAGGGCTTTAGGGCTCCCCTGCAAGGCTGAGATGTGGCTATTTCTGATCGTACCTGTGGGTTTAGTCCATCAGGTGCCCCTTAATACACTCTCCCCTTCTGTGCCCTCCCCTCACCACACACACACACACACACTCTCCCTCTTTCCCACCCAGGTGGGGTTCAGGAAAGGGGCCGTGCCCTTGCTGAGCCGCCTGGGGTCACGGAGCCAGCTGGAGCTGGTTCTCTGCGCCATCTGCCTCGTCACGGCTCTGCTGCTGCTGGGCTCTATGATTGCTCTGGGCATCCAGTACAGCAAAGGTAGGAGGGGGAGGAGCTCACAGCCCTTCCTGCAGGCCAGTGTTCCCTGTAAGCTGAGCCCTTGGGCGGCCACATAAGAACAGAACAGAAGAACGGCCGTACTGGGTCAGACCAAAGGGCCATCTAGCCCAGTAGCCTGTCTGCCGACAGTGGCCAGCGCCAGGTGCCCCAGAGAGGGTGGATCGAAGACAATGATCAAGCGATTTGTCTCCTGCCATCCCTCTCCAGCCTCTGACAAACAGGCCAGGGACACCATTTCTATCCCCTGGCTAATAGCCTTTTACGGCCACCCAGGAGCGATACGAATGCTGCCCAGCTGATTAGCAGAGCGCCCACAGCCAGTAGCATGTGTTTCTGCTGGTGGTGCACATCCGCACATGCTTCAGTGCACATAAATTTTATTCCACACATGGATGGAAAAATTAGAGGGAACATTTGGAGCCCCCAAGCTCATCTCCCTGCCACTGTAGCTGCTCATCAGGAACACGCCAAAAGGGCTGTGGTTACTCAGTAGAGGAAAGATCCTGGGCCTGCCCTAGGGAGCTCCAAAGGGCTCAGCAGAGGAAGGGGACCTCCTGGGCTGGAATTACCCTGGGGAGTTGCTAATGGGGGATGGGTACAGGGATGGGATTCTCCTGGGACGGCCTGGCAGGAAGTAAATATTCAATTTTCTAAGGGATCAGGTGGCTCCAGCCCAGGGCCTCACCTTGTAGCTGAAGAAGGGCGCTACTGCAGGACTTGGTCTCCCACTTCCTGAGGACTGTGGGGGCCACCTCCCATGCCCCTCTAATGGCCACTCCCAGTGCCCCCTCTAATGGGCATCCGGGCATCAGCACAGGAGTGGTCAGGTGCAGGGCTCTGAGGCAGGGCTCTAAGGCTCTCTTCCTAGCTCAGCTACCAACATGTTGCATGTCCCTGTTCTGTGCCTCAGTTTCTCCACTTCCTGGGCCCTAATGACTGCGTCTCTCCCATACAGACCCTTCCCACAGCACATGCCTCACAGAAGCCTGCATCACCGTGGCCAGTAAGATCTTGGAGGCCCTGGACCGGGAGACCAGTCCCTGCGAGGACTTCTACCAGTACTCCTGCGGGGGCTGGATAAAACGGAACCCGTTGCCCGACGGGCGTTCCAAATGGAGCACATTCAACAGCATCTGGGACCAGAACCAGGCCATCATGAAACACCTCTTAGGTGTGTGTAGCCCCCACACCGTGGCGCCCCGTTCTGCACAGACAGAATTGGAAGGGCAGCAGTGGTGGGAGGCACATGGTGGGTTGTATGGACAAAATGCAGCCAAGGCTGGGCCGGGAAGAGATCTGAGTCAGCAGTCGGACTCCTCTCTCTGCTACATCGACAGCATCCTCAGGGATCGGCTTCCCAGGGCCCAGCCTGGAAGGGGAGGAAGCCCATAGGTTCAGGGATCACAGGGGCTCCCCATACACACACACACTGGGTGGGGTTAGGAGACAATCCAAACAGGCCATCCAGCATAGAGACTGAGGAGTCCCCTGGATTGGTTTCACTTGGTTGGTGCTGGTGACAGACGGGACAATAACCTCTATGTGGGTGTTTCACCTGCCACCAGCGTATATTGCTCGGTCACCGCTTCTTGGAAACAGTATAGGGCAGGCTGAGGTCACATCCTGCATCAGCTTCCATGGTCTCGCCACCTTGAAGAGGACACACTGACCAGAAGTCTGTCCCACATCGGCAATAGCCAGGGGCACACAGTGACACAGTGGACAGCACTCTATCCAGTACCGGCACCAGCCAGGGCACCTGGGAATTTGCTGGCCAGCAGTCTATCCCATGCCGGCACTGGCTGGCGCACGGAGTAGCATACCACCTGGTGGTCTGTCCCATGCTGGCACTTGCTGGGGCACAGAGTAACATGCCACCTGCTGGTCTGTCCCATGCTGGCACTGGCCAAGGAATGAAGTAGCACGCCACCTGGTGGTCTGTCCCATGCTGGCACTGGCCAAGGCATGGAGTAGCTCGCCCCCTGGTGGTCTGTCCCACACAGGGACTGGATGGGGCACATGTGTGGTATGCCAGATGTACCTGGGAAGACCCTTGGGCCCCTTCAGGGGACAATTCCCTGGTGCCATGGCAGGTGGGGATCAGGCTGTATAATCTGGGAGAATCTAACCCACCTGAGTGCCCTCCTCTCTGCCTGGGCCCGAGGCAGGGGGCACTAGGTCTGGAACACAGGTCTGGGCATTCCCCTCATCCTGTATGTGCTCCAGGTACAGCAGGAAGGTGAGACTGGCTCAGCCCTAAGGCTGTAAGGGAGGAAGTGATGGTGACTAAGTCCATCTTGTTACCCACTCCCCAGAGAATGCCACCTTCAACTCCAGCAGTGAGGCGGAGAGGAAGACCCAGCGCTACTACCTGTCCTGCCTGAAGGAGCAGAAGATTGGGGAGCTGGGCTCCCAGCCACTGATGGACCTTATTGAGAAGGTGGGTTCCCAGGGGGAGCTGGACCACCCTGAGGTCTGGGCAGGAACCTGGCTTGTCGGGAGGGAAGCTGCCCAGGGTACTCGCCTCTCTGCAGGGGGAAAGTCTCTCCATTATGGGGGACCGCCCTGGCGAGGGCTGAACCCTGGAAGCCTTTGCACAAAAAGGCGTGTGTGGACAGACAACAGGGCTTTCTTGTGCAAGAAACCCCTATCAGAAAAAGCACAGGTGCTCTGATGGCCATTCTGTGAATGACCATCAGAGCTTTCTTGAGCAAGAGAGTCCATGGCAGCATGGATGCTCTCTTGCGCAAAAGCACATGGTAGTGTGGACACGCTCTTGTGCAAGAACTTTTTGTGGAAGATCTCTTCTGCAAAAAGTTCTTGCGGCAAGAAGCCTGCAGTGTAGACATAGCCTCAGAAGGGAAGCACAGCGCCCCCTGCTGCTGGGCAGGGGTGCTTTGCATGGAGCATGGGCATTTGTGCAAGGTAGCACCTTCAGCAGCACAGCACCCCCTAGTGTTGGGCTGGTGTGCTTGGAGCAAAGACAGATCTTGGAAGAAAGTACCCCCCTCCAATGCCCCCTACTGCTGGGCTGGGGACACCTGGGAGCACAGCAGCAGCACAGCGCCCCCTAGTGCTGGGCTAGGGACATCTGGGAGCACAGCAGCAGCACAGCGCCCCCTAGTGCTGGGCTAGGGACATCTGGGAGCACAGCAGCAGCACAGCGCCCCCTAGTGCTGGGCTAGGGACATCTGGGAGCACAGCAGCAGCACAGCGCCCCCTAGTGCTGGGCTAGGGACATCTGGGAGCACAGCAGCAGCACAGCGCCCCCTAGTGCTGGGCTAGGGACATCTGGGAGCACAGCAGCAGCACAGCGCCCCCTAGTGCTGGGCTGGGGACACCTGGGAGCACAGAAGCAGCACAGCGCCCCCTAGTGTTGGGCTGGGGTGTTGTGCATGGAGCACAGGCAGGGTGTAGAGAGCTGCAGTGGACAACCTGTTGCCTGAGGGTCGCATATGGCCCATTGGAGTTCTGCGTGTGGCCTGTGAGACATTTTGTTTACCATTGCCCACGCACAGAGTTGCCAGATTCTGCTGGTCTTCATCTATGTAGTTTCCCCCCCACCAGTATTACTAAAGTGACATGCACATAAAGCAAGAGCCCGTGAAGTGAGGTGTGCGCTGATTGCACACAGCATTGTAAGTGCTGTGCACTCCCTCTGCAGCCAATCAAAGGGCTGCTACGGTTCAATCGGCACAGCCCACACACTCGAAGAACACAAGCGCAGTTAGCAAAACCCCGTATCCCGGGAGACCCCCTTGGTGACGACAACCTTGCAGCCCTTCGAGATGAAGGAGGGCCACTCTTGAAGCCCCCTCACTAGCCTACGTTGCCTCTCTCACTGGCATAGAGGTCCTCTCTTGTGCTGGGTATGAAGGCAGAAGAGGCATTTGGTGACCCACAGAGGCAGCTCGTCCCCAGCAAGCCCAAATCCCGATGCTTCTGTTTCCTGCAGATCGGCGGGTGGAATATTACTGGGCCCTGGAACCAGAGCAACTTCATGGAGGTTCTGAAGATGGTGTCGGGGACCTACCGAGCCTCCCCCTTTTTCACTGTCTATGTGGGCGCCGACTCCAAGAGTTCCAACAGCAACATCATTCAGGTAGCCCTGTGAAGTGGGCACAGCCCGACGGGGAGGCAGCGGCAAAGCCTCACACAGAGCTCCCAGCGTGCAATGGGCCTGACGCAAACGCCTCCCTTCGCCCCTCGCTCGGAAACATCAGCATCACAAGTTGGGGGGTGGCGGGGCCTGCAAAGCATGGGGGAGAGGGGCCCAATAGGGGTGCAGGAACAGCACAAAGGATCCCATCCGGGGGGGTGCGTTGAGGACATAAAGGGAGGGGAGGGCAAGGTAAAGGCATTAGGGAACCTAGGCAAGTACAGGGAGGGCACAGGGACAGAGGGGAGCAAGGCTATCATGGCTGAGCATTTCTGACTCTGGGCTTAAGGGGCCCAGTTCAGACACTCAGCCCCCTGCCTGCCCCCCTCTTGTCATGAGAAGGGACGCGCCGGGAGGGGCTCAGTGTGGATGGGAACTGTTTTGGGGCTGCATCACATATCTGGGAGTAGACCAGTGCTAACCCCAGGGCCTTAGAAAGGCACCTCAGCCTCTCGCTGTTGGGGATGTGAACGCTGCTTGGGGATTCCATGGCCCTAATCTACTGCTCAGCACTGGGGTTGCCCCAGTTCCTGCACCCCCATGGCTATCACAAGCTGAGCCATGCCTGGGTGTGGGGGTAGGGCAGGGCTCTGTGCCGCAGAGCAGTAGTTGTGGGGTGCAGATTCATTTCTTTTCTGTCTCCCAGGTGGATCAATCAGGCCTTTTCCTCCCCTCCCGGGATTACTACCTGAACAAGACAGCCAATGAGAAGGTAGGGGGCTGGGTGGGTAACAGCCCACACAGACCATCCCTTCCCCAGAGCCTTCCAAGCCAACCTGAATTCACGCCTGTCTTCCGGGCTGCACTGGTCTCCCTTCAGCTCCCGGCCACTGCATCGGGCTAGACCATCCTCGGCTAGCCTGATGAGCCCATCCCCAGCTGTGTGGGCCCCATGTAGGTATTTTCAGCCTGAGCAAGTCATTCTTGCTTCTCTTTGTCCAGCCGAATAGGAACGGAACTCCTTGAGTCTCTTCCCAGCTGGCAGGGTGTGGGTTTCCCCGTCTCGTGCACCCCCGAAGTGGCACGAACAGACTCCACCAGCCAGTAGAACAGAGGGAGTTTATTGCTTCTCCAGGATACAGCACAGCACAGATGTAATCTGGTTCCAGGGCAGGCCTAGGATACCTCAGCCCCCCTTGAGATGGGGGAGACTGGGCCCCTAAATTCCAGCCCCTTCCCTAGGCTGTCTCCTCCATGATCCCAGCCAGAAACTAAAGATCGTCCCTTCCAGCCCTGCCCCCCAGCCAGGGGCGGCATGCCACCTTCCTTTGTTCCTCTCCCTGGGAGGTAACCAGTAGAACAGGTTACCTCCCTGACCCATCAGCTACTCGGCTGGGCCGTGGTACAGACAGCAGCCAGTGGGGGTCACCCACAGCCCAAGCCTAGCAACCAGCAAGGTACCCCCACTACGTCACACAGGGTTTCTAATCATTTAATCATTCGGGTGGCTCCTCTCTGAAACCTCCCCAGTGTAGGCTCCACCTCTGAGGTGACCCAGAATGTGTCTGAAATGCATGTTCCCAGCACAGCTTCCTGAGCTCCTGATGTAGATCCAGCCCGGCGGGTGGAATGTGCCCCACCCCAGATCTCGTGGGCAGAAGGAAAGGGATCCCCAGGCGCTAGGACTCTGGATTGGAGCCCGGGCTGGGACCCCCTCTGGCAGGACATCCTGGGGGGGCGGGAATCAAAGAGCACAGGATCGGTGGGAGCTGAACTCCCCCACGGCCTATCACTGATTGCATGGGGCTGCCCCCGCCCAGGCGACTAACCCCGCTGCCTCCTGCTTGAGTGACAGGTGCTGGCTGCTTACCTGGACTACATGGTGGAGCTGGGGATGCTGCTGGGTGGGATGAGGGTCTCCACCCAGGAGCAGATGGAGCAGGTGCTGGAGTTTGAGACTCTGCTGGCTAATATCACCGTCCCCCAGGACGAGAGGCGGGATGATGAGAAGATCTATCACAAGCTGAGCATTGCAGAGCTGCAGGTGGGTCCGGGGGGAGGGGCAGCCTGGGCTGCTGTGGGATGGGGGAGGGGGGCTGAGTTCTGTCCTGTGTGGGGATCTGTAGCGGGAAGCTTCCATTTGCTGGGTCGATCCCTCCGTGGCCTGGAACAGCTGGGAGAAAAATTCTGAATGAAAAACGAGAGAAGAAATCAATGGCTCTGAGCCCTTAGTTCCATTTCAGAGCTGCCAGGGCAGAGCGTGAGGGAGACAGCAGGCCCACCTTAGCAGCCCTTTTCTGTGCCCCGTCTGCTCCCCCCGGCAGCTCTTGGCTGCTTTCCCTGCACACTCCAGGGCTCTGTTTCGCTGGGCTCTTTGCTGCCCATCCCCCCCACCCCGGTCTCATTAGGATTCCAGCAGGGATGCTGCTCCGCAGCCCAAGTGTCGTTAATGCAGGAGGCCTGGCTGAGCCGCATCCTAAGCAGCCAGGAGCCATTGCTGAGATACCTCGCCAGCCCCCGGCTCAGCAGTTCAGACCCATACACAGAAAGATGGGGGCCCCTGCCATGCGTCACCCACTCGCTAAGGGCACGGGTGCAAGGGGGTGGCTGTATCCACAGAGTCAGAACACGCAGCTTCTGGGTACGATTCCCCCTCCATCCACTGCCCTGCTACCCACCTCTGGGGTCCTCCCACCCACTGCTGCTCCTCTGTCTTGCTGCCCTGTGCCCTGCTACCCACCTCTGGTCCCCCACCCAGCTCCGCTGCTCCTCTCAGTCCTGCTGTGCAGTGCTCTGGGCTGCTGCCCCTCAGTCTCGACCCGCCCCCCCTGCTGTCGTGGTCCTGAACTCTGTTGTGGGAGGGAAGCGATGCCAGGGCCCTCTTCTCAGTTTTTTAGTTCCTAGCAATAGCGAAGAGCCAGCTTTAGTCCCGCAGCCGGTTGCCATGGCAACAAAGCGAGGTGCCATGCTGTCTAGTGGAAAGGGAGGTCTCAAGAGGCTGGCCAGGGATGGGGGACTGGAGTGAGGGGCAGGGTCAGGGCTGAGAAACCGGAGTGAGGTGCAGGAGTGGGGCAGGGATGGGGGAACCGGAGTGAGGGGCAGGGACAGGGCTGAGAAACCGGAGAGAGGTGCAGGAGTGGGGCAGGGATGGGGGAACCGGAGTGAGGGGCAGGGGCAGAGACCAGGGACTGGGAAACCATAGTGAGGTGCAGGGGCGGAGCAGGGATGGAGTGAGGATGAGGGGGCTGAGAGTGCGGCAGAGGCAGCGAGTCTGAGTGATGGGGGCTGGCGTGAAACTGAGGGACCAGAAGTATTTCTCCAGAGACATGTCTCCTCCTGCTTCCAGTGAACCCCTGCTTGTGGGCTGTGGTTTCCTCACGGGCAGAGGGCTCTGCATGGAGCCCGTTACCCAGAACAAGGGAAGCCCGCCCTGGAAGCCGGGGAGGAGCAGCACCCCCTCAGAGCCCTGTGTCTCCACAGGCTCTGGCCCCTGCCATCGACTGGCTGGATTACATGGCCTACACCCTGTCCCCGGTGGAGCTGAGCGAGGCGGAGCCCGTGGTGGTGTACGGCCGTGAGTACCTGCAGCAGGTGTCTGAGCTCATCAACAGCACAGACAGAAGGTAAGAGCATGGCTGGGGGTAGGCAGGCACCCGCGAAGTGCTGTCAGGGTTCTCCTTACAGCACCCATTGGGGCCATGTCTGAGGTGAAGGAGTATCTGTCTTAGGGCCGTGCCCACCAGAGCATGGGGGCATGTCGCAGAGCCACGCCCTTGGGGTCTGGTGAGTAGGTGGGGCTGGGGGGTGAGGGGTGCACCTGTCTCAAGGCCATGCCCATTGGGGGGCTCTCAGGACCATGCCCATGGGGGTGGGGTGAGTGGAGATAGGGGGGCATGTCTTAGGTTGTGCCCATCGGGGCAGGGTCTTTGTGAGTCCATGTGGCTCTGTCGTTTTGCAGCATTTTGAATAATTACATGATCTGGAACCTGGTTCAGAAAACTGCCTCAAGCCTGGACCAGCGATTCGAGACAGCCCAGGAGAAGCTGCTGGAGACCCTCTATGGTACCAAGAAGGTGAGGGGCTGCTGCATGGGGCAGCGGGCCATACCACTGGCATCCGTCCCCAGACTCCTTTCTTTATGTGCATGGCGGCATCCTGTGCCCTGCTCCTGTTACTTCCTTTTCCTCTCCCCCCCCCCCCAAAAAAAAATCCTCAGCCAGTCAGCCACAACCCGGCCTGTCTGGGGCCTGGGGCAATGAGACATGGATGTGAGTGGAGATGCTGCTACGGAGAAGTTGCTCCTGTGCCACTCAGCCTGCAGCCCTGGGTTGGAGTCAGAGAGAGCCGGGCAGCCTAAGGAAAAGGAACCTCCCCTAGAGGCTGACTGGCCTTGTGGGGTAAGAAGCTCTGCCCCTTGACCCAGCGAACAGGAGGCTGCAGGCAGAGAAAGGGCCAGGAATGAGCGCCCCTGAGTGTGTTCCCAACACCCCCCGATGGCCTGGCAGAGCCTATGGGGAGGCAGGTAGAGACCGGGATGGGGTCCCAGTGCAGATGAGGGCCAGTCTGTCTCAGAAGGAGACCAGGTGAGGGATGTCGCTGGGCTCACGTCTGAGCCCCAGGGGCTCCTCGACGAGATGACAGGTCATCACAGCAGACAGGCGGGAAATTTGGGGTTAGAGATTGTGTCCCCCTACCTCTTGTGTCAGGGCGTGAGCTCGGCCTATGCCCCGCCTCACTGTATGGCCAGCGAGCACACGGGGGTGCAGCACCAGCCCTCCTCAGGTCTCACCCGGTCTGTCTGTCTCTCTCTGGAGTCCTGCACCCCTCGCTGGCAGACCTGCATCTCCAACACGGACGACACGCTGGGCTTCGCCCTGGGCTCCTTGTTTGTGAAAGCCACCTTCGACAAGGACAGCAAGGAGATTGTGAGTACCCCTGCCCTGTCCAGGCCCTCTGGCCTCCCTCATGCCAGCATCTGAGCCCCCTGCAGCCCCTCCGATCCCCCCATCAGCCCCCTAAAATTCCATTCACCAGTTCTCTTGCAGCCACCCCAATTCCCCTGCAGATTCCGATTCCTCCTTTCTTCCCCTATTTCCTCCCCCTTCCCATTCCTTTGCAGCCCCCAATTCACCAGCAGTGAGCTCCACAGTGCCAGGGGCCCGTAGAACAGAGACAAGGGAATTCCCTGCCCTGCCAGTCGCCCAGGTGAGGGGACTTTGGCCTGGCTGCATGTGCCCTCTTGCGCTAACCACTCAGCTCGGGGGATCGGCGAGGACCAGAGCAGCCGCCACTGAGGGGGTGAGGCTGGGAGGCAGGGCTAGTGCCGTGCGGCTGTCTCCAGGAAACGGGGGTGCAGGCTGGCTGTGGGGGGGACTGGCTCTCCCTTTCCCCCACAGGCTGAGGAGATGATCAGTGAGATCCGGACGGCCTTTGAGGAATCCCTGGACCAGCTTGACTGGATGGACAAGACAACGAGACAGGCCGCTAAGGAGAAGGTGACCTCCGCTCTGCTGGGCACCGAGACCCCAGCGGGACGGGAGCCAGCCCAGCTCCTTCCCTGAGTTAGAGGGAGGCGATATCAGAGCTGACTCCAAATAATCCCTCCCCAGGCAACGCCACGGTGCACTCCCCCAGCGTGGTCTCTGGGACATGGGTGTCCTGGTGGGGGCGGGGAAAATCACAGCCACCTCGTCCCTGGGCCTGCCATGGAATCCCAGTTCTAGAGCATCCCCAGGCAACGCCACGGTGCACTCCCCCAGCGTGGTCTCTGGGACATGGGTGTCCTGGTGGGGGCGGGGAAAATCACAGCCACCTCGTCCCTGGGCCTGGCAGGGAATCCCAGTTCTAGAGCAGCAGTGCTTGGCACTGTGGGACCCAGAGCTTCCCTGGAGGAGCCGGGGCTATCCACTGGGAGCTCCCAGGTCTCTGCCTCTCCTCCCCATGCTACGATCTCAGCCGCTGTCCTCACCCCTCTTCCCACAGGCAGACGCCATTTACGACATGATCGGCTTCCCAGACTTCATCCTTGACAACAAGGAGCTGGACGACGTCTATGACGGGGTAGGTGGCCCATGAGCATAGGGACTTGGGCCAGTAACATCCCTGGGATTGCAAGGCCAGTGGGGAGCAAGTGGCTCCCAGCTGGCTTGTGCCAGGCATGTGGCAGGGATCCAGCGAACCAAGGGTCCCATTGGGATGGGATCTTGCCCAGCACCCATCTTACATGTCCCATTCCCGGTGTCTGGGCCTGCTGGAGGAGCTAGGAGCCGGGCCTTCACTGCTATAGTAACTGAGTACCTAGATTGATCTCTCCACCCCATCTCACCCCTTCGCTGCCTGCGGGGTTGGGGGGAGGGCACATCCTAGACCATCTGAGACACACATACACACTCCTCCCGGTAACCAGCCTGCGGGGTTGAGGGGTGCAGCCCTAGCCCATCTCAGCCTCTTGTGTTTCTTTCTCAGTACGAAGTCTCTGAAGACTCCTTTTTCCAGAACATGCTGAACTTCTACAATTTCTCTGCCAAGGTCATGGCTGACCAGCTACGGAAACCCCCCAACCGGGACCAGTAAGGAACTGGGGCAGGGAGTGGAGTGGAGGGTGAAAGGAGGGCCCCATATGAGGAGTGCATGACCGGGAGGCCTGGGGGCTAGTTTGGGGGCATGGCCAGTGCTGCCCGTTTCCTGTGGCAGAGGATAAAGGGAGATTCTGTCCCATTGCACTGCAATGCAGCCCAAAGCCTTCCTCACTTCCAGGGCCCACTGGAGCTGCAGCCTGTGGACACTACCGGTCCCAGCATGCAGTGCTCTACCTAGAACCTAGCCCCTGGCTGCATTGCGTGCTGGGAGATGTAGTCTCCGTAGACTGCACCTTTAAACGAAGGAGGTGGCTGCAATCTGCTCCTTCCTTCCAAGGCAGCAACCTTGGGAAGCATTTGATCCGAACAGTCCCCTTGGAAGGCTCTCCGCCAGGCAGCCCCACTCTTGGCGCAGATGCGGCCAAGCATCCGTTCACAAACACGCACGCACTTGTTTGCACGTTCACGCCTCACAGCGCAATCACAGGCTAGGGCCCGCCTAGCTCTGTCTGTAACGCAGACACACCGGCAGCCGGCTGCTCCCTTTGAAACAGGAAGACAGCAGCCCCAGTTAAGAGCCTGTGCAAGGGGGCTGATGTCCTGCTGTGTTCCTGGCCAGCCTTTGGCTCATGTCACCCCGGCCCACTGCTGGGGCAGACCTCCGCTCTCAGGCTGGGAGGCTGCTGTGATGGTGCGAGGCTCAGCCAAGTCCAAGCATGTCAACCGAGTGTTTCCAGGCAGATTAAAAGGGCCCTGGTAATGCTGGCTTTGGGCCCCTTCACGCTGGGTGTAGACGGGAGCTTCCCCTGTATGGCAGGCTGTTCCTCCTGCTGGCGCCTGCCCCGTCCTTGGCTAACAGAGTGCCAGCTGCTGCCTAACATGTTTTCCCTCCTTAGGTGGAGCATGACCCCACAGACTGTCAATGCCTATTACCTACCCACCAAGAACGGGATCGTCTTCCCCGCGGGGATCCTGCAGGCTCCTTTCTACGCCCGCAACCACCCCAAGTGCGTCGGGTGCTCTGGGCTCTCGCCTCGTCACCGCCTCCATGGGTGGCAGGGAGAGGCTGGGGAAGGAGAGGCCACGAGGCCCCATGGAAGCTGCAGATCCCTGGGTATCCTCAGATCTGGGCAGCCCCCTCTCTTACGTGGGGGCAGCACTGGGTCCTGGGAACAAGGATGGAGCTTCCAAGGCAGAGACTCTCTGGGTCTGAGCTACTCCCAATGACACATGAATGGAAGGTTCCCTGGTCCCTGCCTTCCCAAAACTGCCCCGGTCAGAGGAGCGCGCTGCCCTGTGACCCCAGTGGAGTGGGCCCTCACTACTCCCTCAGCTGTTCCCTGGGTCCTATTGTAACGTGTCCCTTGGGGAGCAGCCCTGCCCCCGGTGGCTGTGGGCTCAGGGTGGGGTGAGCAGTCACAGGGCACCCGGCTCAGCATAAGGAGCGTCTCCGCCGGCTCACTGCCCTTCTCCCCCTCTGCGAGGACAGGGTCTACAGCAGCACTTCCCATGGGGTGTCAGAGGAGAGGGCAGCCTTAGCCACGGTGCTGTGGAAAACGCCTGGCAGGTGTCGCCATGCCAACAAGGGTGGCCATCCTTTGGCCCTTGACGTTCCGGAGGCTGCAAGCCCCAGCATGCATTGCTCTGTCTGCATGGCCAGGCCCGTTGCTAGACCTGGCGGTCTTCCCCACACGCTTCTGAGTTAATGAGGGCAACTGAGGGCAGATCTGCTCTATGTCTTTTATGTGCCAGCCTTGGGCTCCCAGCAAGCTGGCACTGTAGCCCTTGGCTGGGCAGAGTTTATGCTTTGCCCTGGAGTGACGCTGAGGCGAGGGAAGGACCTGCTCCAAGCCTGCCCTGCTAGTGCAGCGTTCCGGGCCCGTCTGAGCGGGTTTCCTAGCTCTGGTCAGTGGAGTCTCACCGGGCACCCAGGCCCGGCACTCAGCACGGGCTGCTCATCGAAAGGGCACCAGGGAACGCAGCATGGGCTGGCTCACTCCCCTGCATACACAGCAACCAGGGAGGCTCCAATGCCACTGTGATAAGGGCCAGGTTAAGAGCTCAGGCAATAAACTAGGGTGTCTCTTTGGCTTTACCCAGGGCCCTCAACTTCGGCGGCATCGGGGTAGTGATGGGACATGAGCTCACGCACGCGTTCGATGACCAAGGTAGGACCCAGTTGGCCCATCAGGCTCCCCTCTTGGCTTCCTGATCTCACGCACATGCCTGCCACTCCAAGCATGCTCCAGGGGCACTACCAGAAAGGACGCTGGGTCCGGGACCACTAAGCAAACAGTCCTTATACAGGATAGAGGTGACGCTAGCTCCTCCCCCCGCACAGTGCTCCCTGCTCCACTTGCCTCTTCATCGCAGCCTCATCCTGCCCTCTGCACCATGGAGCTGCCCAGCACCTCTGTCCTGTACGCATCAAGGTTCCCAACATCACTCTCCTCTGGGCCACCAATGGCCTTGCCATCCATTCCATCCTATGCTTCCCCACGTCATCTTGCAGCATGGCCAACACCCCTTGCCCCCCTTAGCTTCTCCACAGCCCTCGAGATGTCCTTTCCCCTCGGCTGGCCCTCCTCCCCATCTCTTTGTCCTCCTGTCTCCCCAGGTGACACCTGCAGGCATCTCCCCAGGCTTCTCTGTGCAGCTTTCGCTTCTGCTCCATCTGCTTGGTGAGGACCCATGCCTCTGCATCTCGGGCCATGGCTAGTGGCTGGCGATTCCCAGTCTCCCCCCCTCCCCACTGCTTCTTGTGGCAATTGGGGATCTGCCCCTTCTCCAGCAGGACTCGCGTTTGTTTTGTTTGCATCCTCTCTCTGCATGCTGTGCAGTGTTGCTAGGCCACAGCCAATGGTGGAACACAAAGGGCAGTTTGGGGGTTATTGGGGCCTCCCTGCCAAGAGTCACTCCTTGGGTCTGGCTGAGAAGCAGGTGGAGTTCCCACACTGACAGGGGTATGGAGAGAGCCACCATCAGGGTGGGGGCTGGTAGGCTCAGCATGCTGAAAACAGGCATGGAGACTTTCTCCTCGAGGCTGCTGGTTCACAGCTGGGTGGCAGGGAAGGAGCAAGTCATCCATGGCTCTTTGGTGGCCGAGGCGAAGCGAGCCGGGATCCCGGCCGGTCCCTGGCAGACAGAAAAGCCATCAGCACCAATTGCCCCAGTGTTAGCGACTGAAGACACTAGGGACCGAGCAGACCATGAGGGGTGACCTCTTCTAGAGCGGTGCCAACAAGCTGGGGGAAGCCCAGACAGGTCCTGCTGGGGAGATGAGGCTGTCAGTCTCCAAGGCTGCACAGCCACCTGGCCATAGAAGACCCTGGGATGTGATCCTGCCCTTTTCCTGTTGCTCACTCACAGGAGCACCATGGCTAAGGACGAATCCTGAAGCCCATAGAGCAGCTGTTCCAGCCCCATCCTGACCTTGACTGGTGTGTGGCTCTGATTTTACCCTTTTCATGCCCCTCTCCATTTCAGCAGTTCCACTCCCCGCCAGACACACCCACTCACGGGCAGCAGGCTTAAGATCCCTGTCGAGCCGTCACATAGAGCCTTGTAACTTACCTCAGCCTTTGGGTTGCCCACAAGATCCTCCAGGCTGGGGGTCACTTGAGACGGAACTGAGACTGTGTTGTGAGTTGGGGCTCGGTTCCCCTGTGGGTCGCTGGAGCAGAGGGCACCAGAGATGGGTGCAGGTGACAGATCTCCTAGCGCTGTCCCTTCCGGTAGCTCCTCCTCCGGCCATGTAATAACGTAGCCGGTTGTCTTCCAGGCCGAGAGTACGACAAGGAGGGAAATCTGCGTCCCTGGTGGCAGAACTCCTCCCTGGAGGCCTTTAAGAACCGGACCGAGTGCATGATGGAGCAGTACAACAAGTACATGGTGAATGGGGAGCACGTCAACGGCAAGCAGACCCTGGGCGAGAACATTGCCGACAACGGGGGCCTGAAGACAGCATACAATGTGAGTAACCCAGTCCGCCTGCCCTTCCGCTGGGGGATGGGGAGCAGATCCCAGGGTTCAATTCCCACTGCCCCGGATTCTGTGGGAAGCATCACTCGGTGTTTGCTGCCACGTCATGGCATGCCCCGGTGATTCATTGCAGGCCTACAAAGCCTGGCTGCAGAAGAACGGGGAGGAGATGCACCTGCCTGCCGTGGGGCTCACCAACAACCAGCTCTTCTTTGTAGGGTTCGCACAGGTATGGCTCGGAGATGTGAAAACAGCTTAGCTAGGCTGCCTCTCCCCCACCCTGCCAGTGCCCCCAGTCCCAACCCACAGTCCCCCTCCCCCAGTTATTCCAGTTCTAAGTCATGCCCACCCACCTACCCACACTGCTCTGCTGAGGTCCCTCAGCCTGCAGACCCTGCTATCCCAGTCCTGGGCTCCCCACACACTGCTCTGCTGATGTCTCTCACAGCTGACCCACAGCCCCGGGCTCCCTTCCTGTCTCCCCTCGCCCCACTAACGCTCTGCCAGTGCCCCAGTGCTAACCCACTGCTCCTGGCTAGTTCATTTGGGAGCAATGAGCCATGGCTTTTAAAGGAACTCAGGAGACAAGAACCATGAGATCCTCAGGGAGGCCAAATGGACCACCCTGGCCCAGCACAGTCCTACCTACGGTCTGGCCCACTCCCGGCGAGTACTCCACCTTCCCTTACCCTAGCTCTATTCACCACCTCCCTGACGGGCCAGTTTCTGCATTGGGAGGCACACTCCCTGTCTCAGCTGTTGCCTGGAAGTCAGGCTGGGGCTTGGGTCCCTGCCTCCCTAACCCTGGCCCTTGTGTCCCTCGCACAGGTGTGGTGCTCCGTGCGCACGCCAGAGAGCTCCCACGAGGGGCTGGTCACCGATCCACACAGTCCAGACAAGTTCCGGGTCATCGGCACCCTCAGCAACTCCAGGGATTTTGTGGAGCACTTTAAGTGCCCGGTGGGCTCGCCCATGAACCCCGGCAAACACTGCGAGGTGTGGTAGAGAGGGGCCGGCAGGCGCGCAGCCAGGGAACGGGACAGTGACGCTGTACATACACAACCAACCAATTTCCCCAGGATGCAGGCAGCCAGGAGCACCCATGTAGAGCCCCAGAGCCATGTCCCCTGCCCCTTCTATGGGGACACGTGGGGTATCTCAAGGAGCAGTCAGTGGCCTCAGCTGTTGTGGCTTGTCCCGTGCAGGCTGCAGGCTCCTCCGACCAGACAGAGGCCCAGGAGGGAGTGTAGGAGCCTTATCCTGCACTTCCTGCTGGGTGGAGCCTGGGACTCAGCTCATCTGCTTTGGTCAGCCCCTGCACAATTGACCCTACCTGCCTTATCAGCCCCTGCCACCACTGCCCGCCTTCTCGTCGCAAGGAGTGCCAGCCCAGGGTCTCCTGCCTGAGTCCCGCTCCAACCAATCACCCGGCTCCCCCAGCCCCACAACCGGGGGTCAGCGGGACTTGCCCACCCAACCAGACCACAGGGTGAGACTACCTTTGCTGGCTCACTTTGGCCAACACCAGCTTTTTCCTTGCAGACCTGTGAGTCTAGCCTGGGTGCAGCTCCTCCAACTAGGGCAATGCTGCGAGTTGCGGGGCAGACAGGGCCTGGGCGATCTAACTGCTGTGACACCCCCTCTGCTAGAGCAGGTTCATGGCACGGTTAATACCACTGTCGTTCTGCAATGACCCCAGCAGGGGGCAGCACCGGCACCGTAGCAAGGAAGAGGATGGGATCTGAATTAAAACGCTGGAGTAAAGGCCAGTTAAAAGAGCATTGGGTGGGATGGGGCAGAGCATCCTGGAGATGGGCACGTCTGGGGTGGGAGGGATGACAGCCCAGTGCTCCCGTTGCCAGGTTGGGGTGCAGGGAGATAGAACACGGCACAAAGGGCAGCTGTGCAGCTTCCCCTACCGCCAATGGGCACGGGGAGGTGGGGCATTATCTCTGTCGGAAGGGCAGCAGTGCAGCGCCCTCTAGTGTCAGGCTGGCAGGTGGAGAACGTCCACAAGCATTTTTTTATCTTTTTAAACTAAATGGAACAGCAGCAGTTAATGCCCTGAGGATCTCTGCTGACTAGGGGACCTTCCCTGGGATTAGCCCTGAAACAAGCCGCTTGTTCTATACCAACTCCAATCCCTTCCCAGCTTCCCTCTAGTAACCCAGCTGTATGCCAGGGCAGGCTTTTTCTGGGTCGTTTGAGGGGGATCGGACAAGGCATCCGAGGCTGGGAGCTTCAGAAGGTGAGCTGCTCTTGCTTCCAGGGCATCGTCTTAACTTAGGCTCATTGTAATCCAAAACCAGCTTGGCTTAGAAACTCCCCATTTGCTTTAATAGATTGGTCAGGGTGGGGATTGGTGCCTTGGACTAGCTTTGGGTGGTCATCAATGGATTTATTTAACAATTAAAAGCAGTTTCCACTTTCACACTGGGCTCCGTGGCGTTCTTAACTCTGCATGGTCCCCGGGTCGCAGGGGATAAACACCCTCTCTCTCTCAGCGGTCACTCGATAACGAGTAGAATGACTTCCTTTCACCTTTCTATTTGTGGATCCATAGATGGCTGACCAGCCCAATGCTGGAGCCTCTGGTCTTATTTTGGAAGTTGCAGGTGCTGGTGGCTATAGGAGGGATGTGGGGCAGTTTTTGCTGCTCTTTTCTCCTTCTCCGCCTCTCCTCATCTGCCCTACGGCAAAACTCTCAAAATGCGCCACCCCCTCACGGATTACCGCTTTCAAGGTTCTCAGGGGGAAGGGCTGGATTCTGGGGTGTGTGGAAACACAGACTCACGGTGGGGTGGAGTCTGGGAAGTGCCACATGCAAGGCCCTGGGGAAATCCTGACACTGAACACATCTTACACTTCTAAAAAACCAAAGGAAATTCCCCAAGCACTGAGCAGGGGAGCTTTTGTTAAACTGGAGTTAAGATTGGAAAAATCTAGCAGAGACTTTTGTGGATGCTCTCGTTTATTAAACAACCTTAAACAGTCTGGAAATTAAGTGACACATAAAAAAATGAGCAAGTTTGCAAATGTACAAGTGAGGTCAGTCAAACAAACTAACCCACCACCAACTTCACTGGTTTCCTCTATTTACCCCCCTCTAAGGCCTCCTAGAAGAGTGACATAGGCAGGGCTGAGTCTCGGGGGGGCAGGACAGTTCGTCTCTCACCAGGGAAAGCTACTCGCCTAAGGGAGATGGGTGACACTAATCCCAGTTGGAGTCATTCTGATTTGCTAAGGAAATAGGCCTCAGTAACCCCCCTGTAATCCCCCTGCACATAGAAAAGCAATGTGAGCCCCCTTTGCTGATGGAGCCCAGGTGTCCATTCAGGTAAGGGCCAGCCACCCCCTGTACAGTAAGGTCCGCTTCCTCCCCAGCACTGAACAGCACATGTTGGAGCACCTGGCAGCATAGGGACAGGCACCCCCCAAACTAGCAAATCTCCCCCAACTGTCACCAGGAACTGGGTTCCATTTCATGCTGTTGGATTTACATTTGTCAAGGGAATTTAGCCGTGCTTCAAAGCGCTGGACTGACAGTCCTGGAGGCTGAGGCAGTGCGTATCCACAGAGCAGTCCTACCTGGACAGCAGCAGGGTAACCCTCACGCTGCCCACTGTCAGCACAACTCTCCCCACCCCCCAGGGAACCTTCTGCAGGGAGGAACAGTCTCCACTACCCACTCACTCCCTGGCCAACAAGGAAGCCAATTACTGCCCACTGCGATGTGGTCCTTTATCCACTGGATGCTGGACCTGCTACTCATTTCACATGGGACAGCTGGATAGTAACAGCTCTGTCGCTACTGAGCGAGAACAGACTGAGCCCTGACCTCAAGGGATAGAGCTCCCTGACCCGCCCAGCCCATCACGATGATAATGATGATCCCAGGAAATAGAAGCCCCCAGCCTAGCCCTGTCCCATGCTTTCAAGGCAGCTAGAAGCAAGGTGGATTCTTCTGTGGCATTATCAGCTCACGTTGAGCAGGCTGCATAGCACTGGGGAAGAAACAGGTTTTCCAGCTCTGCATCTGGTGGGCCAGCTTACACACCTGTCCACGCCACCAGCTCCTCAGGCTCAGCTTCTTCACATGGGTTCACTGTAGTGTGGCCCTGCGTGCCAGCCAGGCCCTGAATGGAGAAGCGGCAGCACCAGGATCAGGCAGCAAAGAGTCAGAGGGGAAGGACTCAATCCTACCTTTGGCCAGCAATGGTGGACTCTGAAGCTGAGGCAGGAGGTTGGTCCCTCCCAGAGCTGCCAGAAGAAGTGGCTTCCCTGTCAGCATTGCAACCCAGGGAACCCTAGAGTCCTGGCTTGGGGTGCGGGTTAGAGAGGTTACAAGGCTACCGAGTGGCTGGCAATTTCCAGAAGGAAATGAAAGCTCCGAAAACTCCATCCTACCTCCAGCTTTCATCCTCTCCTCCTCCTTGAAGCCTGAACTCCCTGAAAGGCTCAGAAGGTCTGGGCTTCAAGAAGAAGGGAGGGACAGAGGCCTCCTCCAGCTTCTTTGGGAATGGAAAAGATTAGTGAGAATATTGGTTCATTCATGACGGATTTTTTCCATCCATGTGCGGAATACATTGTTTTATGTGCACCAAGGTATGTGCAAATGTGCACCACCAGTAGAAACAGAGAACCGAGCTGTGGGTGCCCTGCTAATCAGATGGGCAGGATTTGAATCACTTCTGAATGGTTGCACAAGTGCCCAGCTTACAAGGAACACTGGTATGGACCCACCCAGAACTAACCCATCCTCTACTTGCCTCTGCCCAGGCAGCTATTGTATAGGAATAGCCTTACTGCTTCTCCTTGGAACACACCACAGTTCTGTGTAGGCTGGAGGGGGGGGCTGGTGGGATTAACTGGTGACCAAATTGCTTTTCTCTCCCTTAACCCAGCCCCTCTCTCCATTCTCTGGGTATTCACTGCTGTTAACTCAACTGATTGGTGCCTGGGTTAGCCTAGTCAGGCTTGAGCATCCCCACGGCAAAGCCCTATTCAAGATACCAGTGCTGCTGCACACCTCCATGTGTGTTTCTAGGACAGCTGGGGGCACTAGCCCCCTGTGCCCCATCTGGGCCTTGTTACCCCCCGCCCCAGCACCAGCCCCTCGCGCCCACCAGGGGGCTCCGTAACCACCTCCCCTGCACCGCCCCACGGGTACAGCACCAGCCCCTCGCGCCCACCAGGGGGCTCCGTAACCCCCTCCCCTGCACCGCCCTACGGGTACAGCCCCAGCCCCTCGCGCCCACCAGGGGGCTCCGTAACCCCCTCCCCTGCACCGCCCTACGGGTACAGCCCCAGCCCCTCGCGCCCACCAGGGGGCTCCGTAACCCCCTCCCCTGCACCGCCCTACGGGTACAGCCCCAGCCCCTCGCGCCCACCAGGGGGCTCCGTAACCCCCTCCCCTGCACCGCCCTACGGGTACAGCCCCAGCCCCTCGCGCCCACCAGGGGGCTCCGTAACCCCCTCCCCTGCACCGCCCTACGGGTACAGCCCCAGCCCCTCGCGCCCACCAGGGGGCTCCGTAACCCCCTCCCCTGCACCGCCCTACGGGTACAGCACCAGCCCCTCGCGCCCACCAGCGGGCTCTGTTACCGCTGGCCCAGCACCAGCCCTAAAGTCCTGTGTTAACGGCCGGGCTGCAGGCCCGTCCTAGAGAGCCGCTCCCCAGCGCGTTCGCCGCAATGCCTCACGGGAACTGTAGTCGCTGGCGCTGGGCCGCCCCCTTCGAGGTCCGCGCGGCGCAAAGCTCGATGGGAGCGGTAGTTCCAGAGCGCGGCGCGGGGCACGCTGGGAAGTGTAGTTCCACGTGCTCTCGGCACCGCGGCGGCGCCCAGGAGAGCCGGCCGCGGGCGGACTCCGTCTCCCAGGGGGCAGCGCGGCGGGG